TATATATATGTGTGTGTGTGTATATATATATATATATATATATATATATATATATATATATATATATATAATAGACACAATACCTTTATTTTATTTATTTATTTTTATGTGGTGCTGAGGATCCAACCCAGTGCCTCATATAGTCTACACCTGAGCTGCAACCCCAGTCTGAGCTTCATGCATTTATTTAGTTATCTCTGTAGAAAACCCCCCACCCCCCACAGTTTTCCAGAGTGGTTGTCCCTGTTTGTACTCCCCCAGACAGTGTTTGAGAGCTCTCACTGCTCCACATACTCAGCAACAGCAGGCATTGTATAGGTCCAGTTCCCTTGGAAGTAGTTTTAAGTTCAGAAAAGTTATCCTGTGCTCAGCTAAAGACAATGTGTTTGTAAGTGACAGAGTTGGGATTTGAACCCAGACCTGTGTGACTGTGTAATCTGTGCTGCCTCCCTCTGAGATAGAAATAGACATAGATTATGATCTGAACCAGAACTTGCAAAATTCTAACCCTAAGTATGTATGAAGAACAAACACTCTTTGGGAATTTAACGAAGGGGAGAATTTTCATTTGTTTGCAGGAGGAAAAGGATCATGGTACCTCATAGAGATGGTAGCTTTTGGGCTGGACCTTTCAGGAAAGGAGAGATTTTGCCTGGAGGGCTTTCCAGGTTGGGCTTCTGTAGAAAGGGCTCTGCTCCAGCTGAGGCCAGGCAGGAGTGAAAGTTTTGGGGGAATGGGAAAGGTCTACTTTGGCTGTGATACAGAATATATGGAAGAGGGGGCTAAGGCTGGACAGATGAGTTGAGGCCAAATTGGGCAGATGAGTTGAGCCTTAGGCTGCACCTCTGCTTGCTGACATTGGCCAACCAGGATGTGGAGCCATTTTATTAAGGAACTGGGGCTTCTTCAAATGCAGCTCAGTCTCTGATGGTGAATGGAGCTGGCATCTCACTAAATGGAAGTTCTTAGCTGTTTCTGGGACCACTTTCAGGGTTTCTGCCAACAAAAAATTTTTTGGAGTTTTCTGCTTACATCTAGCTGTATGAGATTAGTCACCCCACCCCCATGACCTGACCTAAATAGTTTGTTTGGAAGGAGTTTTTCAGCAAAAAGAAGATGGTAGACAGCAATCCCACCTCTTCTAAGACTAGTCTCAGAAGATTTGCCATAATGTTGGGGGTGAGGGTAGTTCTAGCTTCTGATTCTGGTTTTGCTGGGGCGCCCCAAGCCTTTTTTCCTGAGAAAGGAGCCAAATTGGTTGTCTCAATGGCTGTGGGGAACAGAAACACAAACAATAGTCTGCGATGCATCAAATAACATTAATAATCACCCTCCTCATTTATACAGCAGTTTATAATCCTTATCACAATGAATTCCCAGATGGATGTGTGAAGTAGGTGATATGGATAATGTCACCTCTGTTTACATTTGAGGAGACTGAGGCCCAAAGAGGGTGGAACCCTGCTGTGGGCCACAGGGCTAATAAACACCAAGCTAGTCCAGACCTGGGGCTGCTAGGGCCTGCTATTTTTGATATTCCATGTCCCGGACCTTACTGAAGAATAGAGACCAAGCAGGGAGAGGATACATGAGGGACTGTAGACGCAGACAGGCAGGTGATCCTGAGAATGAAACCTGGGAGCCAGCCCAGCTCTGCCTGGGGGTCTCAGGGATGTGTTCCTTAGCAGAAGGGAAAGTGGAGGTGGCATCTAGATAGTGGCACTCTGATTTGCATGGGGCAGAGCTGGAGGAAAGGTGAAATGTATATATCCCCTGAGAATTAGAACAGCTTCAGCCACTTGGCGTTGGTGAGATGTGCCCTTATGTCACGGTGTCTCCACCCTGCCTGGTGAAATTAATCATTTGAGGTTCATGGAGCCTGGGTGTGGTTGGCATCTGTTTGGCAGGCAGAGATGCTTCCCATGCTAGGCAAAATGGGCTCTGAGAGGCCTTTGCTAATTGACAACTTTTGAAAGACAGGTCCACAGGTTTTATCTTTTTGATTGGCAGACTATACCCTGGGCTCTGCCCTTAGGGTGCTGTCCAGGATGGCAAGTAGCTGTCTCAGGAATAGGTGAGGATCCCAGGGGAGGATGCAAACAGTCTCTTATAGTGGAGTGATGAGTGCTCTCTATGGCTTAGAGTAGTCCTGTGGTTCTCATGAAGGTACCCTCGGCAGGAACTTAGTTCCACTTTATAGATGAGGAAACCAAGCCTCTCTGACAAGCAGTGAAGTCACAAATCTAGTTGCAGTCAAAGCTGGAATCAGCACCTCAGGCTTCTGATCTTGGTACCTGTTGTAATTTGTCACATCGTTCCCGCCCATTTTCCCCTTGGGGTGATGAGTGAGAGCAGTTACCAATCTGTTCAGACTTGCAGTTGGGTGGCACAACCCCTAAGGGAGCTGAGGTCATGATAATCCCTTGCCTTTCTATATAGCATTTCGTCATTTACAAAACAATTTCATGACTTGAAGTTGACTTTTACAGTATTAGCCCATTTTACAGATGAGGATGCTAAATCCCTTGCAGCCTAAATGATTTACCCAAGTAAGAATGGGACTTGAACCTGGGACTTCTGACTCAAAAACTAGTGCTTCCATTACTGTACCACAGTTTTTTTCTTTTCTCAGTGGATCTGAACGTAATGAAAGCAAATAGTTCACCATGGATCTTTTTCTCAGAACTTCTTCAGAATAAGTAAGGAAGACTCTTTTTCCATCTCCTTAATAAATTTGAATAAATCAAACAGATGTTGTGACTCATCCCTGTAATCCCAGATACTCCAGAGATTGAGGGGAGGATTACAAATTTGAGGCCAGCCTGGACAATTTAGCAAGACCCTGTCTCTAAATAAATAAATAAACGGAATTAAGATGACTCCTATGAACCATACATAGTCAGTCCAAGTGAAAAGAAAGCTGGAGTAGGGCATTTCTTGAGGAACCAGGGCTGTGGATCACCGTTAAAATATTAGCTCCCTTGCAGCCAGCTGTTCTGAGTTCTTAGACTCCGAGGATTGTGCTTATTTTCATGGCCCTTCTAATGTCAGGTTTCTTCCAATTTCAGGGTTGTATGGTCCAGGCCTCCATGAGGAGCCCAAACATGGAGACGTTCAAGCAGCAGAAGGTGGAGGACTTTTATGACATCGGAGAGGAGCTGGGGAGGTAAGAGATTGGTGGAGAGGATGTGATCCGAGGCCAGTTATGCTGCCTTTTGGTGAATTGTCAGTTGGTGTTGTAAGACATGGGCTTGTCAAGGAATAGTGGGATGCTTTAATAACAAGCCTGGGGCTTATTCATCTTCATGGGTGACTCTGCAAACAGTCATGTCTCTGGTAATCAAGACTTGCTAGAAGAAGGGGCTAGAACTGTTGAGATCTGTGTTTTCAGTGCAATCTGACAGCTGTGACAAATCTTAATGATTCTTGTCTCATGTGTTACTTTTCTCACAAATCCCTCTTCAGGCTCTGGACAAAGACCTGACCCATTGATTTTCTTCTGAGCCCCACTTGGGATTCTCCATCCTGGTTCCCAGGATTTTGGTTTTTAAGCTCAGAGCCTGAATGGGAGGAGGTGGAGTAATCTCCTGTAAATGGATTTGCATTGAGTAAACAGTCACATGAGCCTAGTCATGAAGTTTCTTGGGATCTGAATTACTTAGTGCATTGTCAGTTTGGTTCAACCCAGAATGCAGTCAGGGCTGAACTCTGAGGAGTAAAACCAATTACTCTTTGGAGAGAAATTAGGATTTTCATGAGTTTTCAGATCTTCTATTTCTAATAACTGCTCACACTTACATGGTGTTTTTCATTGTTTTTGTTTTTGCTGTATTGGGGATTGAACCCACAGTCTTATGCATGTTAGTAGATAAGTGTTCTACTACTGAGCTACATCCCAGTAAATTTTTTTTTAAAATTTTATCTTGAGATAGGTTCTCACTAAATTGCCAAGATTGGCCTCGAACTTATGATCTTCCTGTCTCAGCCTTCTGACTAATTGGGATTACAGGCATGCACCATTGCACCTGGCAGGATGATGTTTTTTAGCAGTTAGTTACAAAACACCAGTTAAGAAGTCTGATTCTCACAACAATGTGTGAAATAGGAATTATTTCTACTGTCATTTTCCAAATAAGGAAACTGCAGTCCAGAGTTTAAGCAAGCCCTCTTCAGGGCTTGCCCAAAGTCACAGCAAGCTGCCCAAAGAGGCAGCAAGTGACTTAGCCAAGGTGCTGACCAGTCCAGTTTGCACATGCACACCTGTCCTGCTCTCTCCTGTGAGAACGACATTGCATAGTCACCTGGGCTCACCAGAATACCCACACACCCGGCGACATAAAACCCCAGCAGTTTGGGGTATCCGTTGTATTCAACAGATAAAACAAGTAGCCTTTTTCCTTTATAGAACTCTTGGATCAGGACTAGTCTTTTACTTTTCTTCATTTTTAAAGACAAACTCCAAAGCCAAAAGTGCCATTCTCAGGAAAATGGGGGCAGAGGATACAACAAGTTCAGGGTGTGTTAATTCTGGCTGGCTAGTTAGGTGGGGAGCAAGTGACTGCAGACATCTCAGAGGGGATGACTCCCCAGCATGGGATGACTGCTCCTGCCAGTGTGGGGCCTGGTGAAGGGGTGCCAAGAACACAGAGGGCCAGAGGCTTGTGGGGCTCAGCTGGTTCTGCCTCTGAATGGGAAACCAGGTTCTCTTCGCCTCAGGTCCTTCTGCCCTTGGGAAGTGGCATCTTCAGCAGATCTTGACAGGCCCTGCCAACAGCGATGGATTTGGTGGCCTCACCTTGGCCATAGGGAGTACAAGGTGCCATGAGTACAAAGATTAACAAAACACAGATAGTCTCTAGCTCTGCTAGAGCTCCAGCCTAGAGCAGGAGCAGCTGCATACACATGACAGGGACAGAGTTGGACTGGATTATTAGTGTCTGGGGGGCAGAGAAATTGAGAAGTCAGGTGGGGCAAGGTCCTTGAAAAAGAAAGCAGAGGAAGTTCCCTGGGAAATTCTTGTTATTCCTTTGTCATCTCATCTCCCATTTACTCTGTACATTAGGGACATAAGCGGAGCAGGGTGAGCTGGTGCATGTTTATAATCCTAGCTCCCCAAAAGGTTGAGAAAGGAGGATCGTAAGTTCAAGGCAAATTCAGTGACTTAGCAAGACCCTGTCTCAAAATTGAAAAGGGCTGGGGATGTAGCTCAGTGGGAGAATGTCCCTGGGTTCAATTCCCAATACTGCAAAACAAACAGAAAGGAACCTGAGCTGTTAGAACTGGAAGAGAACTCAGGTTTTCTGGTTCTCCCCTGCAGCAGGTGTGAAGGCCCCTCACAGGCTGGGGAGTCCCTATGCCCCAGCTTGTCTAAAGTGCTAGCTGGGCTAGAGGTGGGTAAGAGGCAGCAGAGGCTTGGGGGCCTGAGGCTTTTGGAGTTTCCAGGCTTGCTAGGACCTGTGGTCTGAAGATCAGGTGAGCTAGAAGGCCATTAGAGGTCCTCTCTTCTAGGACCCTTATTTGACAGTTGAGGAAATCAAGGATCCCAGCAGGGAAGAGTTTTGCTGGGGGATGTAGAATGGGCTGGAACTAGAGCTGCCTTCAGACAACCACTCAGATTCTAAAGGGATAGTCCTGTCCTCTCTTCCCCACCTTTTCTTCACATGACATATTGAAGACCTACTGTGTGCCAGGTACTGCCCAAGGCAGTGATAAACAAAACATATACATTGTTGCCCTCTCACAGTCTGTGATCTGTGAGTGGAAAAAGGCACCAACTAGTGAAGACAGAAGGGTGAACCATCATACAGGGTGTTTGGGCTGTGGAGGGAGGGAAGCTGATGCTCTGAGAGAATAATGGGTGGCATAGTTTCAACTGGCTGCTCAGGGAAGGTTGCTCTGAACTCGCCATTTTGAGAATTGAGGGGTAAATGCCAGGCAAAGGCAGCAGCATGGACTGGCCCTGAGGCGGGAAGAGCCTGAGGCCTGAATTGATGGCAAGAGGTCAGTGTAGCCTTGAAAAGTGAGCTGGGTAAGCAGTGCCAGAGGAGGTAGGTGGGAGCCAGGTCTAGTTGGTGAACTTCCTGCCAACTCAGAGTAGTACAGAGGTTTGCTGTCCGGGTTCCCCTCATAGCTGTGCAACCTTAGGACAACTTACTCAACCTCTGTTTTCTTCTCTGTAAAACGGGAAAAATAACAGTCCCCGCCTCATGTCTATGGAATGGTATGAGATGTTGAGTTGAAGATGTTGAATCTAAGGTGTTGGGCCTAGCAATGGTCTGAGCAGGGGAATATTAAAATAAGTTTGGGACATCAAGGCCCCACCTCCCCGCTCTGCAGCCCTCAGGAGGAAAGTGTGAGAAGCCCCACCTGGGGGTTAACCTCATTTCTGGAGGATGGTATGTAAACCTACTTCCTTATTTATTTTTTTTGGTATTGCCAATGGAACCCAGGGGCGCTTTACCACTCAGCTACATCCCCAGCCCTTTTAATTTTTATTTTGAGACAGAGTCTCACTAAGTTGCTGAGGCTGGCCTCAAACTTGTGATCCTTCTGCCTCTGAGCTACTGGATGACAGGCATGTGCCACTACACCTGGCACCTTCCTCCTCTTCTATCAGTGAGCACCCTGCCCTAGACTCAAGGTTGTCTCATTGACTTTAGATCTTTGTAAGTTCTCATTATGCAAAAGTGTGAATGAATGAAAGCCTGTTACCTGTCATAGTGGATGAAGCTCACAAACAATCTTGAGCAAGGGAGTTAGACTCAAGAGTCCATACTGTATAATTCCATCCATTTCAAGTTCAAACCTGGTGAAATGAATCTATGCTGTTAGAATTCAGATAGGCAGATATCCTCAGGGAACAAGGGACTCAGAGGGCCTGGGGAGGATTTCTGAGATATTATTCAGATATTGTTCTCTTTCTCCATCTGTACTTGTTTCACTGTGGTGTTCATTTCATGTGTAAGTATCAAGATGTACATGTATATTTTCCAGTGTGTATGTCAATAGACTACTAATGAAGAACCTTCAGCTGCATTTCCTGTCATCATCTGTCCCCAAATCACATGTTTTTGATTCTTTTAGAGGCCTTTCCTTCTTTATCCTAGGAGGAAGAGACCCTCTGTAAACTTTGGGTTGGGACAGTGTGCCCTGGCTGGGCCATCCTGTGCTCAGCTGGAGTCCTGCCTGCCTTCACACCTCGCCTGGTTTCGGGCTCCCCATACTGCCTGCAGATGCTTGGCTGTGCTCACACTTTGGCACCAGCCTGTTCAGGGTGCTGGAGGTTGTCTGCTCTTTCCAGGAGTGTTTGGAGAAATGCTGGCCTGCAGAACTTGGCCTCTCCCAGCCTTGGCATCCACCAGTAGGGCAGAACAGGGGAATATTAAAGCAGGACTCTTACAGAGAAGCCCGTTCAGCCCCTCATTATATAGATGAGGTCAAGACCAGTGGCTTGTCTAAGGTCACACAGTGAAACTGGGATGGAACCAAGGTGGGGCCTGGTGATCTGACTCCTAGCTTAGGGTTCTAACCCTCATACCAGAAGGACTCACAAAACACAAAATCATTTTTTCTTTTAATGTCAATGCTTCTGGAGAGTGGGTGAGAGTCTGAAGCAGGGTGGTCTTCTCTGTTTGACCTTGAGGGTAAAGATGAGGGACAGAAGTAGGAGGTGGAGCATTTGGGAAGGAACAATGTTTCCCAGTGACTGTTTCTCGGACCTCCACCTACACATCTACTGCATGCCTGAGAATATAAAGTAAATTAATTTAAGCATCATGCAACAATCAGAGATTCCTTGTTTCCTATTCTTCAATTACTTTCCTTCAGTTAATTTTATTATTATTATTATTATATTAATGTAAAATCATTAAATGTTACCATTAAACTGGATCTCAACAAAAATTTAATTCAAATCCCCCATTTTATAGACAGGGAAAGTGAGGACCAGAGAGGGGAGGTGACTTGTCTAAAGTCACAGAGCAAGTGGTCTAGGACATAGAACTCAAAGGCAGAACCTTCTCAACTGTACTGTGCTGGTTTAAACATATAAACAGACAAAAGCTAAAGCTTAGCATCAGGCCTGGTGGTGCACTCCTGTAGTTCCAGCTCTGAAGGCTGAGGCTAGAGGATGTCTAGAGTCCTAGAGTTTAGGGCCAGTTTTAGAAA